TATTCGGGTTGTTGATGTTCCAAAGCTAAGTCAAAATTGATGGCTTCGGTTATTCGTAAGCCAACTTTTCAACCTAATAAGAATAAGCACTCGTGGGCAGGTTTTTTGCTTTCACCTTTTTTGTTGGGTCGGGATATTAGGTAATCCCAAACTTGTTGTAAAAGTTGGTTAGTCGGTAAAATGGTGAGTGGTTTTTTAGTTCTAACCAGTTCTGTTTTAGTTCTTACTTTTCACTCTCTTTCGGCTGGTTCTAGGTGGATTAGTTTTTTAGTTTCTTGGAGCAGATTTAAGGTGGCTAATAACTTAGCTTCTTCGGCTTTGAGTTCGAGGGACTTTTTTATTTTATCTATTTTGCTATCTTCTGCGGAAGTGTCTAAGAGTTTTTGAGCTTTGATGTAGTTATCTAATCGCTCATTGGCTCATTGAGCTTCTTTTTTGGCTTCCTCAGTTAATTTTTTATTTTCCTTTATTTGTTCTTGCAGTTGTTCCGTGCTTTGTTTAATGTTTTTAACTTCTTCGGTAAGTTTATCAACCTTTTTATTAGTGTCTTGGGCAATGTTTAAGGTTTCGTTAGTTCGTTCATCTAATTTCTGAGAGAGTTTATCCATTCTTTCATGGACTTCTTCTTGAATTTCTTCCATTTGGTTAGCCACTAAGTTTAATTTATGCTGTTGAGTAAATAAGAGGTCATTAGTTTCGGCTAATTCTTCGAGCATTTCTTCTTGTTGAACCCTTTGGTGGGCTTGTTCGTTTTGGACATTAGTTAATTGTTCGTTAAATTCCTCAATAACTTCTTGATTATCTTCAATTTGGGCTTCGATTATCTTGGTTCTGCGTTCATATTCGGCTTGGCTATCTTCGAAAGTTTGCTGAGTTTCGGCAGTTTGTTGGTTGATTTGGGATTTATAAGTAATGAATTCATCCTCAATTTGTTCTTTTTCTTTACGAAGATTTTCCAGGTTGGTGTTGGTGAGTTTGATGTTATCTTTTACTTCTTTAATTTCTTGTTCGCGTTTGATTCTTTCTTCTTCGATTTTGCGCTTGTTGGCGAGGATTTTTTGTTCTTGTTCTTCGAAGCGTTCATTGACTTCTTTTTTAAAATCATTTAAGGCATTAGTAAGTTGGGTTTCTACTCGGTTAAGATTATCAGTGACTTCGTTAATAGAACTTTTTAACTCTTGATATTGGGCTTGCCGTTGTTTTCTTTCTTCCTCGATTGCTCGTCTGTTTTCCCCGGTGGCCGTTTCTAATTTTTTATCGAGGTCTTTGATTTCTTGGTCGAACTTTTCTCCTTGCTTTTTTAATTCTCCTTGGAGTTCCGATTTGAGGTCGCCCATTCTTTTATTCATTAATTCGCCCTGAGCATCGACTTTGGAATTAAGTTTAGCCTGTCCGTCTTTTAAGTCTCCGACTTCGGCAGCAAGACCACTGATGGCACTACTTGTAAGCATATCTTTTAAGTGGTCAATAGCAAATTCAACACTAGACAAAGCCAGACTAGCCGCAGCAACTACTTGGGGTCCACCCATACCAAAAACACTAATTGCATTGATGGCCGGGAGTCCTATTCTCCTAACTCCTTTAACGCCATCATCAATTAGACCAAGTGCTACCGAGGTGCCACCACTTTTCATAATTTCATCCAATGTTTGGTTCTCGTTAACTTCTTTTAACTTAATGTCGACTGTGCCAAGAGAAAGGTATTTTACAGATTTTGCCACCACTCCATTATAGGCTTTTACTGCGAAATTAAGTGCTTTAATTGAGGCTCTGATTGCTGCTTTGCCAAGCCCTCCTTTTTCATTTTCCTTTTTTAATTTATCACGATTAGTGGTGGATTCTTCTCAGTGTAGATTGTCTTTGTTGTTGTTATTTGTCATAGGTTTTGATTATTTATTGATTTGTGTTAAACTTTAAAATTATTAATATCAGTCATGAATAAAGAAATTAAAGAAACCGTAAAATTAATGGAGGAAAAAGAAAAATTAGAAAAAGAATTAGAGAAATTAAAGGTAAAGGATGATGGCGAGGGTGGAAGAAGTATTATTGTTGGAATTATTCTTTTGCTTATCCCCTTTTGTGGAATATTTACTGCTGAGAGTCTTACTGGTAAGATGGTTTGCTTAGGAATTTCATTATTAATTCTTCTCTTAGGCTTCAATTGGTATAATCAAAACAAAAAAAAAAAAACAGTTACAGAGAATCAAGAAAAGGCTAAAAGAATTGAGTGAGGTAAAAGGCTAGTTATTGGCTAACTTCTTCTGATAAAATCAGTAGGCAAGTGCGATTATTATTAAAATTCAGATTAGTGACATATTTTATTTATTTTTCTTTAACTTTCTCTTTTGTTTGTGGGAGAGAAGAGGAGTTTCTTCGGGCAAAATAGTATTACCGAAATTATCGGTTGGCTCCTTATTACTTGGCTCAGGAGTTTTCTTAATGTTCTCATCAGCTCCCTCAGCCTTTTTTACTGGTTCTGGCTTTTGCTCTCTCTCTCTCTCTCTCTTTGTGTGTGCTTTTCAACCACTCACCTCCAAATTATTTCTTTACTTTTTGCCTCCATTAAATAATAAGACAAAATAGGATGTTTCTTTTTTTTATTATTCAAATAATTTTCTATACCTTGGGCTTGGCTAATTCAGTCAAAAATCTTGTCTCAGTTCACTTCTTTATCATCAATGCAAGTAGCCGAAGCTAGGGCTGGGTTTTCTTCTAACCATTGCTTTAATTCTGTTAGGTCGTATTTAATAACCGGATTGACTTGAATTTCTTTGTCTGCGGTGGGCTTGTTTAATTTGCTTTCTAATTTAGTTAATAGCTCCTGGGCTTGCTTATTATTTTTAATCTTTTGCCGAGCAGTAAAAATTAATTGT